CAGTTTATTGTTTTAGTTTTATACACACGGAACAATGGTTGTTCATTTTTCACGGCCTCAGTAATGTACTGTAGTGACAGACTTGTACAGAGTTTAAAAAAAAAAAGGCAGGAAAAACCCCAAGTTACTTGAGCATCAATAGCTTACAATCACTTCTGAAAATTTCCAGTTTTTCCTCTTTGTTTGATCTCAGCTTATCCATAATAATGATATCTGAGGTTATATTTACTTGAAAGGTTAAAGGGGATGTATCTCAGACTCTTGATAATCTTCTTTAAAAGATTCTAAACAAATAAAGAAGCCCGAAAACTTTACATAGCACTCACCATCTGAGCTCAAAAACGTTTTAAAAAGATGAAGAAGTGCTCTAAGAAAAAGGCATTAAAATAGAACTTAAAAGACCTAGGTTCATTTTTGCTGCTCACTGGAATACCTGTGAAGTGCTGTAGCCACTGGCCAGTGCTACCTATCAGCAGGTTTTTTTCAGGACGTCCTTCAATTTAGGTAGAGTTACATTACCTTACCGATATAGTTAACTTGCAAGTAAAAGTAAATAGTGTAAGCCACAGAGAGACCAGTCAAATTCTTTATGTAAAGTACATATTATCACTAGGGAAGATAAGAAAGCCTTTAAGCAAGAACTGAAAACAAATCTATTTTTGAATATACACCGTCATATTAACTCGCTTCAGTGTGTCAACTACTGCTCTTAGAAAACATCAGTTCAGCTGCGCTCTAGCTGTTGAGCGATTTGTTAACTCAGTTATGTCTACCTTGTTCCCACTACGAACCAGAGAAAAATAAAGCAAAAAAGACAGCCAAGGCAGGTTTCAGCCCCTTCAGAAGTCAGAGCAGTCCAGAGAGAACTCCCCCTTTACACTCAGGTTTCATTAACCTTCTCAGCTAGCAACACCTTCTGCTATATTAAGTTTAAGCCCCTGCAAAAAAGCTTCAACCATGACTTAATTACATCCTTTTTATTTATTTATTAAATTGTTTTGAAACTCTCATCAGGAAGAGCTATTATAACCTGGGTTTCACTACAGGAGAGTGGATCAAGTCAGTTCTTCTTTAAGCCTTCCCTCTCTCTCATAGATACCACTTCTTTCGAGGAATTAGAGAGTGCATCTGTACAAAGACCAGCCCAGTACTTAAGAGACTCAGAGTCTCTTCCCAGTAGTAAGGGAAAACTGGTTATAAAGGCCCAACTGAAGGCAGCATGAAGAAACACGACGAAGAAGCGCGCGCTCAGCCAACTGGCATCTTAAACCAGACACACACATGCATACATCCACAAAAAACCACCTAAGCAACAGTCACTTTTATCCTTCACCTATTCAAATGTCAGCTATTTCTGCTCAGTGCCTTGTGAATCCAATCTACATATCGAGAACACGAGTTAATTCTAGAAGTTGTTTTCCGACCTGTAATACTGTTATAGAATAAAACAGGAACAGTGTGAGGAAAAGCAAAGTAACAGGACAACAATCATCTGTTTGACTTCAGTGCTTTATATCCTGATGCAAGACTGAATTTGTGAATAGACTCTGTTAGGCATTGGATGGTGTAAGTGATATTACATCCAATCCCGATGCCCAAGTGCGACTTGTCTTGCAAATCCGGGAACTTCATAATTGATCCTAATGCTTTTACAATTTAGAAACTGAAGATGGCCTGCAGAGGAAATGGAGTTTCAAGCCTCCTGAGCTGCTTGCTTTCCACCTGCCTGCATGTCATCTTGAGTGGCTGATGTAACCTCTTGCTCTCCTCTTAGCAAAGCTCAGGTGTTTCTCTTCCAAACTGGATCATCATCACACTGGGGGGGCGGGCACTGAATGAGGTTGATGTGTAACCTGTAGCAGACTTCACTGCTGTTCCTCAGAGAGGAGGTCCATGTAACACCACCAGTACCACATCTGCTTATTAGCAGCCTCAGAGTCACTCATTAGGCACAGAGCTACTAGAAGCTCAGGATGGAAAGTCTGTGGGTGCATCGGTTTTAAACTCCGTAGCATTACAGCTTTTGTCAGATTGTTCTGCACACCACACTGCAGCATCCTTCTAAAAGCTGGCAAATACATTCTTTAACAACTGTTACTCTATACACCATGAAATTCCTTACACGCCTCTCATGCTCTGGTTTAAATCCTTCCAGCATTCCCATTTTAAAAAAAACACTACTTTTCAGTGGTTTATAACTCAGCTGGAAAAATTTTGCTTTGGGCTGAAACTTGGTACAAGTCATAGGAATTCACCGAAAACACTCTTTTGCTTTATGAAATGCAAAACAAAGTCAATAGAGCCATCTTTAAACTGCAAAAAATCCCAGCAGGGAAGCGTACTATAAGGGTATGCCTCGGACAGGAACGAATGCTGTCCTAGTGCACAGGCGATGCGGAAGAACTGAACTCCCGTTCTCACTCAGAAACAGTAAATAGAAAATGGTGCATAATAAACATCAGTATGTGAGCCTCGCTCTTCTGAACAGCCCTGTTAGCACAGCAGATCCCAAGTACTCATTATGGTCAATTCTATTTTACTGTTACATTTTGTAGTTTACTATTTCTCATTACAGCCTATTGTTTCACTGGAGAGTTTGTGCATGCCTATTTACATGAGAGACCACAGAGGTTCAGATTAATAATCATCATTTTTTAAAAACCCTTTGAAGCAGATTAATTTGATAGAAAACAAAGACTCTGAAGTGGTTATTGGATACTCAAAGGCAAATATTTTTCAAAGTCACCGAACACGCATTCGTCCGAAGACCTTCTTACAGCCAGAGTGCCAAAGGAGATTCATTTCCCCTGAAATCTTTGATTTTGTGGGGCTTCCACTGCCGAGAAGAAACACTCCAGGCAAGATAGGGGGTTTGGGAGTAGGAAATGCATACATATACACACAATGCATAGTCAACAATGAGTTAATGTTAGTATTCTTCATCACACCGCGTGGCTAAATACGCATCAACTTTCACAAGGTTGCTGAGGAAAGCACTCACTAAACATAACAGGACTCGTTCTCATCTCAGTCAGATCTCCAGGTAACACCTGTGTATCGCTGAGTAACACCTTTAACCTGAAAGGCACACCTTTTGCCAGAATTTAGCCGTATTTTATTACTGCAGCCTTTAGGTTTACAATTGAAAATCTTTTTTCCAGTTAGTCTACAGCAGACAGGTTAGTCGCTGAACATCCACCGTGCATGGAGAACACCTCTTGTCCTGCAAATTCTATGTATACAATATACGACTTGGGAAATAGCACTTAAACTAATAATTTAAACCGTTGCCTAATTGCTTGCACTTTCAATCTGGAGACTTAAATCACCGTTAACTTGACCTCTGCATATACCTGTGGAAATTTCTTGGTAGCTTACCAAAAATAAAACAATAACTGCAATGACAAGGCTGAGGTTATGCTGCCTTTTCCTATGCTAAGGAAAATATCAACTGAAGGAAAACATTTTCCCAGGCAAGTCATTCAAGCTTAGTTCCCAAACATGAATAATCTGTGTCAAGCCAATGTTTACTAAAGCGGCAAGGTCAGGATGCTGAGCTTATTAAAAACATATTCGCTTATTATTGTAATTAAAATTTCACACTGCAAGTTGTTCAGTTTTTTGGTGTTCTTTCCCTCCTTGAGGGTGTTTATCACAGGTTTATAGAGGTCAGGCTCACACATTTGGCTGCTGGACAGGCTGAAAGCAATGGCAAAACAGCGATACGTAACAAGACAAGAACAGTTGTTAGACACAAACTGCTCCTTCTCCCTCTCTCTGTTGTCCCTCCAGTTGTTGCTGTGGATGTCTTCAGCACAGCCTAAATATCAGCAAAAATAGGTGAGCTGTGTTAAGGCTCTCAAAACAAGTTATCCTCAACAATTCTCCTGACATTCAAACTGTCCAGCAAGCCTGCCTTCTTTCCCAACCACTCCTCTGCCACAGCTCGAGCCTCGCTATGCCCCTCTGTCTCCAGACACCATTCGCAGACAGACTTTTTGGGGCACCCGCTCCTCCATGCACAACTGAGACACAAACACCCAATGTTGTATTGTAGAACAAGGCTAGCAGAGGACTCGTCCTTTCTGTTTTCCTTCTCTGCAGCACAGCAGCCTTACTTTCATGCTCTGAGAAAAGGAAAGCTAAACAGTGAAAAGCTACCCTTCTCTGCAATGGTCCCAGGCATAGCCTGCAAGTGAAGAAAGCAAGCCCAGCTGCTGAAGAGCTGTGCTACCAAAGGCAAAGTGAAAACCACGCTCCTCTCCTATATGAGGCAATACAAGTGTAGAGGGTTAGGAAGCAGCAAGTGGTAAGGGGAAGGCGGATGTGATTTTGAGGCAAGTGTCATGCCCTAATGAGCCAAGAAAGAAGAGTGCCTTCTGCGGAGGAAGGAAGATGAGCGGGGGTACCCAAACAGCGAGCCCTGGGAGAACGCGCGCAGAGCTTGGCAACCCCACCAGAGAGAGAAGGAGAAGGGCAGGAGATAGAAGGAAGGAGAGGGGCTAGGAGAAGGGAACGGGAGATGGAACGAGAAAGAGGGAACAGGTTGAGACGACTACGTTACGGCGACAGAGGTGGCAACGTGCGCAATAAAACAAGGGAGGCAGGAGAGGAAAACGCTCGCAAAGAAGCCAGCTGAACACAGCTCGCACCGGCCAAGCGAAGTGAGCGGAGAGAACCTCTGGATAAAGTTTCCCCGGCAGCCGGCCGCGGTTTAACAACGCCCTTTGGCCCGGCCCGGCCCCCACACGGCGACTGCCCAGCCCGGCCGGGGACACCTATCGCCCGCCACCG